TGGTTTCTAGTAAGGTGACCTGTTGGTGTTGACGGTGGCCTTGTGTGAGCGGCAGCCATCTTGGTTGCCGATCACCTTGCCAAGGCAAAAGCAAAAACACTACAAAAACCACAATAATAACAAAAACAACAACTGTAAATTACTCACGTAAAAGGTAGACACACTATACATACAACTGTGTAGAAACACGGGCGCACAACGAACGCAAAAACGCAAAATAGGCAGAAAATCGGGGAGCGCTGAAAAGCACCGCGTTCACCCGATTATATTATATTATATTATATTATATTATATTATATTATATTATATTATATTATATTATATTATATTATATTATATTATGATTAACTTTCAGATACAACCAGTTTGAATGACACAGCCATAAGTGAAACTACTTCCACTGTCAATACAACATCAAACGCAACTTCCACCATGTCCCACATGCCTATAAGTACTATGTCAACTACAATGACTCGCACAGTATCTCCAACCAATACTGATCCAGACAACACACCTTCCACTTCTCTCATGTCCCATTCTATTGCAAGTTCAACCAGACGTATCACATTACATCCATACGATTCAACAGTAAACAGTCATATCACATATCCTGATGTATCTGTGACACAATCTTCAAAAAGACTGTCTCCAACGAATACAGGCAATTACGAAACAACAAAATTTAGAACAACATTTTTAACAAAACAACAAACTACATCTTTTCTGGCAAGTACAAGTGCTTCAGAAAGCCTACAAAATACAGATAGATCTACATTTTCATCGACCATATTATCATCTTCTCAAACAATGCAGCCACATACATCTTTGGGTACTCAAACAATTGTTTTCACAAATGCTGGGTCACGTGCTCTAACTACTACTGAGTCTTCTCAAGCATCAACATTGATACTGACAACTGAAGGAACTGGTGTGCCCACGACCACTGAACCAAATCAATCATCAACAATGCCACTGACAACCGAAGTAACTGGTGTGCCCACGACCACTGAATCAACTCAACCATCAACAATGCCACTGACAACCGAAGTAACTGGTGTGTCCACGACCACTGAATTAACTCAACCATCAACAATGCTACTGCTAACCGAAGGAACTGGTGTGTCCACGACCACTGAATCAACTCAACCATCAACAATGCCACTGACAACCGAAGAAAGTGGTATGCCCACGACCATTGAATCAACTCAACCATCAACAATGCTACTGCCAACCGAAGTAACTGGTGTGCCCACGACCACTGAATCAACTCAACCATCAACAATGCCACTGACAACCGAAGTAACTGGTGTGCCCACGACCACTGAATCAACTCAACCATCAACAATGCCACTGACAACTGAAGTAACTGGTGTGTCCACGACCACTGAATTAACTCAACCATCAACAATGCCACTGACAACCGAAGTAACTGGTGTGCCCACGACCACTGAATTAACTCAACCATCAACCATGCTACTGACAACCGAAGTAACTGGTGTGCTCATGACCACTGAATTAACTCAACCATCATCAATGCCACTGACAACCGAAGTAACTGGTATGCCCACGACCACTGAATTAACTCAACCATCAACCATGCTACTGACAACCGAAGTAACTGGTGTGCCCATGACCACTGAAATAACTCAACCATCAACAATGCCACTGACAATCGAAGTAACTGCTGTGCCCATGACCACTGAATTAACTCAACCATCAACAATGCCACTGACAACCGAAGTAACTGGTGTGCCCACGATCACTGAATTAACTCAACCATCAACAATGCTACTGCTAACCGAAGGACCTGGTGTGTCTACGACCACTGAACCAACTCAACCATCAACAATTCCACTGACAACTGAAGAAAGTGGTGTGCCCACGACCATTGAATCAACTCAACCATCAACAGTGCCACTGACAACCGAAGAAAGTGGTGTGCCCACGACCACTGAATCAACTCAACCATCAACAATGCCACTGCCAACCGAAGTAACTGGTGTGCCCACGACCACTGAATTAACTCAACCATCAACAATGCCACTGACAACTGAAGTAACTGGTGTGCCCACGACCACTGAATCAACTCAACCATCAACAATGCTACTGACAACCGAAGTAACTGGTGTGCCCACGACCACTGAATTAACTCAACCATCAACAGTGCCACTGACAACCGAAGTAACTGCTGTGCCCACGACCACTGAATTAACTCAACCATCAACAATGCTACTGCTAACCGAAGGAACTGGTGTGCCCACGATCACTGAATTAACTCAACCATCAACAATGCTACTGCTAACCGAAGGACCTGGTGTGTCTACGACCACTGAACCAACTCAACCATCAACAATTCCACTGACAACTGAAGAAAGTGGTGTGCCCACGACCATTGAATCAACTCAACCATCAACAGTGCCACTGACAACCGAAGAAAGTGGTGTGCCCACGACCACTGAATCAACTCAACCATCAACAATGCTACTGACAACCGAAGTAACTGGTGTTCCCACGACCACTGAATCAACTCAACCATCAACCATGCTACTGACAACCGAAGTAACTGGTGTGCCCACGACCACTGAATCAACTCAACCATCAACCATGCTACTGACAACCGAAGTAACTGGTGTGCCCACGACCACTGAATCAACTCAACCATCAACAATGCCACTGACAACCGAAGTAACTGGTGTGCCCACGACCACTGAATCAACTCAACCATCAACCATGCTACTGACAACCGAACCAGTAGGTATGTTATCTTAGCTTAACGCATCTTAAATTGTGTGTTTCAATATGTTGTGTTCAGTTTGCACTGATAAAAAGCATTTGAGAATCAAGGATAAATTCACAGCACCAACCATATTTTTGTTTCATGTCAAATGCATTGACTAATTTGGATTTAGGGGGACACATGGCCTGCAAGCCTCTTGAATCTGATTATTATTATTCGTAATTATATTGTTCTCACTCACTGGTCGATAATAACAGAAGTTACGATAATTGCATGTTAATACTGGGTGAAATTGTTCGAAGCAAGAATTTTATACACTAGATTAGATCCGCTATTAGTGTTAAAGTGTTTAAATTCTTCAAGAACAATATCTGCGGTATCTGTCAGGATTCTTTCACCAGACAACTGGCTAAAGGAATTTAATGTACGTCATAGGGGTCATAGTGATAAGTTCACTTTGGTCATAATTAGTATTGTCAAATTTCAAGACAGTATCGTCCTTTTTAAAGCGTAATGAGAATTTTTTAAAGCACAAAACTGCATGATGGTCGCTATTATCTGTGTGAATTTTTCCATGTTGAATAACATAGGTGGCTACAATGGCAGTGCTGGAATTACCACTGATTCTTCTTGGTGTGGTAATAACTTGGGTATTAAAACCCACAATAATCTTTTTGTTGTTTATGTGGCTTTCCGCACGGTTCGATTAATATCATTTTGAATTTGGCAACACGGGTAAATAACAAGTAGTGTTGAATGTACAGTGATACTCCTATAGTTTTTGAATTGTCGCGATTACACGTTAATTAAATTATATGATGGTAAATTATACAGATAGTATTGTAATTATGCTACAGTCAGTCCAAGGAAATTAGTTTCAAGACACATGAAAAGACAACACGTTCGTCGAATTGTGTAGATAATGATATGATAGTGAAATGGCTTACAGTTATTCTTAGCAGTGGATATATACATATATAAACTATATAAACTTTTGCATTGTTTACTGGTCGTGTTTGCTTAGTGAAATATGTTTTGTTGGCAATGTCGGTAATGTATACGGTGATTTGTTGTACTGACATCTACATTCAT